CTCAGCCCACCTTTCTCTTCACCTTCTCCGTTTGTTCCCCAGCCACCGTGCACAGTCCTCCGTGCAGTCCTTGGCTAGTAGGGTGATTTTTAGGTTAATTCTTAGGTTCTACCATGACTCGGGAATGTCCAAGCCATCTGTGTCATCAGGGTTGCTCAGGTCGCTGCCAGACCGCAGCTCCGTATGTCTCCGTTTTTGGTTTTTCACGCAAATTCTTCTGCTAATTGGGGTTTAGTCCACTTCTGTATCCTTCCCTTCAAGGCTCAGGTGTCCAAGATTATCTTCTGTGTCTGTGTTAATTGTTCTCCCTTTTCTTTGTTGAAGAGGGTCTGTGCAGTCCTTCTGCCTAGTCCACCATCTTGCTGAACTCCTTTTCCTCCAATCTTGATGCAACTTTCTTCTTCATATTGTCCAGCTTCTCAGATTATTAGCTCGGCATAGAGATTGAATAAGTATGGGGAAAGGATACAACCCTGATGCACTCCCTTCTTGATTTTAAACCATACAATGTCCCCTTTTTCTGTTTGAACAGCAGCCTCCAGGTCAATGCACAGGTTCCTCATGAGGACAATCAAGTGCTCTGGAATTCCCATTCTTCTCAATGTTATCCATAATTTGTTATGATCCACACAACCAAATGGCTTTGCATAGTCAATAAAACACAAGTAAACATCTTTCTGGTATTCTTTGCTTTCAGCCAGGATCCATTTGACAGCAGCTATGATATCTCTTGTTCCACGTTCTCTTCTGAATCCAGCTTGAACCTCTGGAAGTTCTCTGTCAATATACTGCTGCAACCGTTTTTGAATTATCTTCAGAAGGTTTACTTGCATGTGATATTAATGATATTGTTTGATAATTTCCACATTCTGTGGGATCACCTTTCTTTCAAATGGGTACAAATATGGATCTCTTTCAGTCAGTTGGCCAGGTAGCTGTTTTCCAAATCTCTTGGCATACCTGAGTGAGTGCCTCCAGAGGGGCATCTGTTTGTTGAAACATCTCAATGAGTATTCCATCAATTCCAGGAGCCTTATTCTTCACAAATTCCTTCAGTGCAGTTTCGACTTCTTCCTTTGGTAACATTGGTTTTGAATCATATGGCACCTCTTGAAATGGATGAAGATCAATCAGTTCTTTTTGGTACAGTGACTGTGTATTCCTGCCATCTTCTTTTGATATTTCCTGCATCATTCAATATTTTGCCCATACAATCTTTCAATATTGCAACTCGAGGCTTAAATTTTTTCCTCAGTTCTTTCAGCTTGAGAAATGCCAAGCATGTTCTTCCCTTTTGCTTTTCTAACTCCACATGTTTGCACATTTCATTATAGTAATTGGCTTTTTCTGCTCGAGCTGCTCTTTGAAATCTTCTGTTCAGCTCTTTTATCTTGTCATTTCTTCCATTTGGTTTAGCTACTTTCTGCTCAAGGGCAAGTTTCAGAGTCTCTTCTGTCATCCATTCTGGTCTTTTCAATGACCTCTTGCTTTCTTCATGGATGATGTTCTTGATGTCATCCAACAATTCTTGTTTTCAGTCATTGGTGTTCTTCTATGCATCAAATCTATTCTTTAGATGGTCTCTAAATTCAGGAGGGATATATTCAAGATCATATTTTGGCTCTCATGGACTTGTTTTAACTATTTTTAACTTCAAGTTGAATTTGCTTATGAGAAGTTGATGGTCTGTTCCACAATCAGCTCCTTGTTTTGGCTGAAGATATTGAGCTTTTCCATAGCCTCTTGACACAGATGTACTCAATCTGATTCACGTGTATTCCATCTGGCAAAGTCCACATGTATAACCGCCGTTTATGCTGTTGAAAAAAGGTCTTTGAAATGAATAAGTCATTCGTCTTGCAAAAGTCTATCATGTGATCTCCAGCATTATTTCTATCACCAAGGCCAAAATTTCCAACTACCAGTGATTCTTCTTTGTTTCCAACTTTTGCATTCCAGTCACCAGTGATAATGAACACATCCTGATTGCATGTTCCATTGATTTCAGACTGCAGAAGTTGATAAAATCTTCAATATCTTCATCTTTGGCTTTGGTAGTTGGTGCATGAATTTGAATAATAGTCATATTAACTCTACTTACTTGTTGTTATTGTTATTATGTGCCATTGAGTCATCTCCAGCTCACAGTGACTCCGCCTTGGCTTTCCAAGACAGTTTCACTATGGAAGTAGATTACTCAATCTTCCTTCCAAGGAGTGGCTGGTGGGTTTGAAACACCAACCTTCTGGTTAACAGTCAAGTGCCTTAGCACTATGCCACCAGAGCTCCTGGTCTTCCTTGTAGGTTTATGGATATTATCCTATCACTGCAAGCATTATACTTCAGGACACATATTGAAACATACTTTGTGATGATGAACAACATGTTATTCTTCTTCAAATTGTCATTCTTGGCATAGTAGACCACATGGTGGTCAGATTTAAAATGGCCAAAACCAGTACATTTTCAAGCAATGGAGGAAGCAGAGGTGGGGTTCCAGGTAAGGTCAGTGACCCAGACCACTGCTCTCCCAAACACTAGAAAAGCTGGGGAAAGTAGAGAAAAAGCCATGGCGGGGAACCAGGACAGAGGACAGCGAGGAAACAGAGGCAGGTATCCAGGTAAGGCCAGGAACCTTGGTCATGCCCCTCCCAAGCAGTGGGAAAGAGGCAGGTATCTAAGTAAGTGGAGGGTGGGGAGGGTGGAGAGGTTTTGAACAGCCAAGGGAGACAAACATGTCTGTCAGTTTGTCCTACTGTGGTGGTGTGTTGCTGTGAGGATTAAGGCTGTGCCATTGGTGTCTCAGACCCAGTAGGGTTACACATAGTGCACAGGTTTCAACAGCTTACAGACTGAGACAGACTAGGAAGAAGGAGGAGGCCATTCATTTCTCAAAAAATTGGCCAGGAAAACCTTATGAATCGTAGAACAGTCTAAACTTGTGACTCAACAAGTGTGTGTTGGGTCTGATGTAAGAGAGAAATAACTGATAGATTCAGTTTCTCCAAAGTTCCTGAATGAACTCCATTATAAGCAAGACGAGGAATGAATTAGGACGAGCACGTTGGAGGGATGTGAGTGTGTCTGGAGGGTAGAATGCAGATCACAAGTTCAGTTTCAATGTCAGTATTTTCTGAGATCACACTATGTGTCAGACACTGGGATAAAGTCCTCGTCTTCATATCTGAGGCTGGGTGCTCAAGGAGGTGGCAGAGATGAGCCACTTCAACAATGCCATACCCTCATTGTTGTTGTTATGTGCCATCAAGTCGACCCGACTCATAGCGACCCCTCCGAGGCAGTATCACTACGCAAGTAGATTGCCCCATCTTTCTTCCGAGGAATGGCTGGTGGGTTTGAACCGCCAGCCTTCTGGTTAGCAGTCAAGTGCTTTAGGCACTATGCTACCAGAGCTCCCATACCCCCATTAGAGGCTTGTAAGTGAAAGGAGACACAGTCCTAGGATCAGCGGTGGTGGGGGCAGCAGTGTGTGTACAAGATATTTGGTGAATTTTCCCTGGGGATCTGCTCTTCAGAGACACGAGCACCACCCAGTCGGCGAAAACAGGCTCAGACCAAGCCAAACACCCCAGCAATCCTTCTTACGGTCTGGAGGCAAAACCTAAATTTCCTAGTAGCGGAAAAGAGACATAACACGCATGCGCATACCCACCCTTGGACTCCGTCAAAGGCGGCGGGAAGTCGGTTTACTGAGCCGCCAGTGAGCCACTTGAAGACGGATTGGAGGCGACGAGCCAATAAAAAAACGTTTCATTGGCTTAGCTTGCACAGGCTTCCGATTCTCCAGCTTTCCATTGGGCCTTTTAAGCATTGCAGGGGCGTGACTCCCAGAGTTCCGCCCCGCGCCTTGGCCCAGCCTCGGGGTCCAGGGCTGAGGCAGTGGGACGGAAGTGAGCGAGTCCAGCCCCTCCCCCTTTCGTTTTCGTTGGAGCGGCCGCTGCAGCTACTACAGCTGCTCGCTGTTAGGCGAGCGGGAGTCTCTGTTCCGTACCCTCGGTCCCTGGCCGCGCAGAGCCGGGATGCACTGCTCCTGCTCTGGGTCCTCATCATGGAGAACAAACGGGTGGAGATTCCCGGCAGCGTCCTGGACGATCTCTGCAGGTACCGCGGCGCCCCGCGCTGCCTCGGCCACGCTCCTTTTCGTCTGCTCCTTGGTCTTAGTGTTCGCTCAGTTCCGCCTACCTCCAGAGTCTTCCCAGTCTTTTCCTTGCCACTCACATCCATGTCCTCGCTTTCCGGTCCCGCCTTTCCCTGATTTTGACTGTCGATCCTTCTCTCGGACAACACCAGCCCTCTTTCTCCACCGCATCCTCTTTGGTTTTCATGGCTCTCTCCATCCTTTCCCGCGGAGCTTCCCGAATTTCCTCTTTTTCTTACTTCCCCAGCTGTATTGCTTTCCCGCATGTGAAGGCGCTTTAGGTTTTTTTTCGGCTGCGTTCTCTTCTCCCTCTTACTGTTTTTCGCTGCCTCTCTTAAGTTTCAGAGACCATTTTCCCACCTTCTCCCTCTGTCTTATTTCCGGATTCTGTAGAAAGACCCCAGTATTCTAAGCCTTAGAATCCCAGGTAGGCAAGGAACATTTTTTCAGGTGTACACCTTCCTTCTCTACATTCTTAGATGTCCTTGGAGTTTTCTGCAAATTTATATAAAGAACAAATGGCTTTCGTGCCCACCTAAGGAAGCAAAAAAAAAAAAAAAAAATTGTTCATTCCAAGATTTATCATTTGGGGGAAAGAGTGGGGGCATCTAGAGCTGCTTTTAATTTCTTCAGTATCTCCCTTAAAACCCTGGGTTTTAAGTCATGGTATGCTTTTACAAAGAAATTTTCTGCATCAGTTTCTCTTGCCAGTTATGGTTTCATATAGCCAAACGTGTACTAGGGACTTAAAATATTTTCTGAAGTAGAATTTTTGGTGCAGTAATACCCTGGGCTCTGGCCGTGTATGTGAGTTGTGAAATAAGTTAGATTGCAGATGAACGAAAGCTCAGATAAAATAACACCCTTTTTAGTTATAGTTACAGTATTTATGATTGATGCTTTAACTGCTAGTAGTGGTGCCATATTCACTTTTATTTTTTTTTAAATGGGAATGCAAGAGCTAATTGTGAGCACTGGGTACTCCCTTGGCGTATTTATTTAATTCTCGCAACAGTTCTATTTGGTAGGTGCAGTTATTTCCATTTTCATCCGAACAGAGAGGTTGTAATTTACACAAGGTCGCATTAATTGTAATTGAGAAAATGGAAGTTTGCAGTGTAGACGCTTTTCTTTACAGTGCGTGTGCTTTTTCTTTAGCACCGGGAGGATGTAATAGGGAGTTGAGTCTTAACATTTTAAACTTGGCAAAAGAGAAGTACATGACGAGAAGTAAACGGACTAATTTTGAAACTAATAAGAACTATTGATACTGTACTTCTTTGGTGATGTTTAATTATAATTTTTGGAATTTGATAGGTTTAAATGAACCACTTAAAAGTTTAAAAGGTACTTATTTTGTATGATTGTAAATTTAGTAAGAAAAAAATTTGTATGTGTGGATAAATGATTAGAAGAACATGTGCCAAAAGTGGGAATTAATGGGATTATAATCCTTATTTCTTTATGTTTCCAATATTTTTAAAAGAGTGTGCATATTATTAGAAAAAATATTTAAGATGGCTGTTTGGAAAGATGAGAATAATTATATGTAGATTAATAGCACTAAGAGTTTATTTAGAAAAAGAGTGGCTGATCTTACGTACTTTACAGGACATCTGAACAAAAGGTTTCCTACTAGTGTTGGGTTTAATTTGTACATTACCAAGAATTACATCATTTAAAGAAGTCACATCAGCCATTAGGAAAGTGTTTGATTTTATGTATGGAATCAGGTCACAAAGCAGCTATATTGTGTTTTGCAAACAGTGTCTTCAAGAATTGATAAGTATTGTTTATTTGGTTTTCCAGTGAGTGTATTTAAGCTATTTTCTTAGGTAAGTCTTTTGGAATACAGTAACTTTTTTTTTTCCTTTTTTGAATTTATCCAGTTGTTGTGATAGGTAAATATTTTTTCCTCTACAACTACAACTACGGATGATGTGTCTAACAATTAGGGCTAACCATTTGCTAAACAAATAATGAAACCAAACAACTATTTCTTAAAACTTTAAGTTTGAAAAGTAATGCCATTTTCAAGTTAATGTTTATAATATTTTTATTGATTAAAAGTTTTTAGTGTTTCCAAAAATTTTTGCACTTAGAATTAGTTTAAATTTCTATGAAAGTAAAACTTAAGGAGCTTTAGTGTTTCTCTCTATGCTCTTGTGTTCTTAAGTTTATAAATTCCCTTTAGACCCTTGTTCTTACTCCCTTTTCCCTTTCCCCTCAAATTCTCGGCTTATTATTTGTATATTTAGAAGGTTTTTTGGGTTTTGGTAAAGATTACATATTCCTACTTACTCTAGTCATTCATATATGAACGCACACATATATTTAAGCCTCTTTATTCTGAAGCAATTTCTCCACTATTCCATATATTAATAAGTTTTGGAGAGATGTAAAACTTGAAGTTTATTTTGATGTGAAAAATCAGAGCAGGAGATTTGAATTTCCAAAACGTGATTTTACGCTTAGTAGACTGCTTAGTAACTAAGGCATGAAATGTTACTTTTCAGATAGTTTAATATGCAACTCTTCATTTACTGGAATACTGTGCAGTTATTAGAAATTCCTAAGGCAACTAGCTGAGGGAAAATACTTATGTCCTGAAAAGATGTACACAATGTACTATGGAGTGTAATATTATTTAGTAATTTGATACCAATTTTTAAAATGTTCTCTGTATGTGTGTGTATTTGTGTAAGCACAAAAAGTGTGAAAGAGTATACACTATGCTGTCAGCATTGGTTTCTGGGTAGAGTAGAATTAGACAAGGAGGAAGCTGTACAATAGTCTAGCGAACACACATTGCTTTATAATTAGAAATTATAAAATGTAAATCTTCATGATTTGATGAACCATAATTTTTGACGTTAAAAGCCAAATACATAAGCTCAATTAATAAAGAATGTTTGCCTTGAACATTGTTGTCTTTTAAGGATTGTCTTTATGAGATCAAGTTGACAACAGTAACTAAAACACAGAAAGAGCTTTAAGGGGGCAGAAAGTCTAAGTTAATAATGGTGAGTCAGTGTGGTTAGAGATAATGAGAATAGTGACAGTGTGAAATATGTAATCAATGTCATCGAACTGTAGATGCAGAAATTATTTAATGGGTGTATGTTTAGTTGTATGTATTTTCATCAGAAAAAAAAAAGCCAATGAAGAGTTTCTCTACTATTTAAACTGACTTATTAAAGAAATGAAAAGTGTGTTTTTAAAGTAAAAACTGAAAATTGCAGTTTGGTAATTTGTTTCTCTTTCAAGGAAATGTTTGGAATTTTTTAAAAGCCCTTTTGTTAAGGAATTAGGCAATTCTATTAAAAAGGGGAAGGTACTTTCTGCTAACTAATGTTGCTGCTATTTTGGTGATAAATTAATTAAAAAATTTGTGCTCATCTTTAGCTTGCCATTTTAGTAATGAATTCTACTGAAGCATTTTTGAACTAATTTCCTTTCCTTGTGCTGATGTTCTATCTATGGGAACATTGAAAAGATGACATTTTGTGAGGTAGAGAAACTTTTTCTATAATAAATTACTATAGAAAGCATTTTATTTCGTACGTTTGTGTGTGTATATATATATATATATATATATGTATGTGTGTGTGTATATATATATATATATGTATATATACAGACACACACATAAAACGTATGCAAATATGTGTATACATGCATTCACATTTAAATCTTTAAACCAGGCCAAAAACAGTCAAAAAATGAAAGTATTAAATATGTATAATATTCATGCAACTATTGATCTCTCCTTGTTCAGAGCAAAGAAAAGTGAAGGAAATCGAAGTCTCAGGAAATAGTCCAAAAGACTAATGATGGACCATGCAAACTACAATGGTCACCACCCTGAGACCAGAAGAACTAGATGGTGCTTGGCTACAGATCATTATGATCAGAAGATCACAATGGTCTGGACTGAGAAGGAGAAAAGAGAGAAATGTAGAACCAAATTCAAAATCATAAAAATAGACCAGACTTACTGATCTGTTGGAACTCCCTTAGACATCCTTGAAACCTGGTACTGAACCCATCCCTGGGGATTAACTCTCAGCCAGACAATAGGCCTGTAAAGTGAATAGTAACACCAGGGAGGAATGTACTCAGTATGATCAATCACAGGAGACCAAAACGGCAGCATTTGCCTCAAAACAAAGCTCAGAAGGCAAGAAGGGGTAGGTAAAAAAGATGAATGGAAATGGGGATCCCAGGGAGGAAGTGGGAAGAGTGCTGCTACACTGATGGGATTGCAACCAATGTTGTGAAACAAAATGTATATAAATTGTTGAATGTAAAGCTAATTTGGCATGTAAACTGTCACCCAAATTACGATAAAAAGTAAACAGACGAAACAAATGTTTAGTTTTCGTTTATCAAAATTTCCTTATAAACTTCCTTAAAGAAATCATTCAGCTTTAACTGTTTTATTTTGTTATTGTTGAGAATATACATAGCAAAAACATAACACCAATTCAACTAATTCTACTTATACAATTCATTGATACTGATTATATTCCTTGAGTTGTGCAACCATCCTCACCCTTCTTTTCTGCGTTGTTCATTAATAAGATTCCTATCTAATCTAATCTTTCGAGTTGCTTTTTTACTTTTATTCTGTATAGATAATTCTTAAAAGAATGTAATCCTTAGGGCAGACTTTTTTTACTAGCTACAGTTTTTATCTGTTAAAGTCTTCATGCAAATGGTTTGAAAACAACCAAACAGTACAAAAGAGTAAATGAAAAGCAAGTTTCCTGCCCTGCTCATTTCTATCCCTAGACTATTCTTTCAGAGCCATCTGCTTTTACCTGTTTTGGATTCTCTGCTAGGTACTTCACTATTATGAAATATACTTGTGGTGGTCAAGTTTGTGTGCCAACTTAGCTAGGCCTGGTTGGATGGCTGGGCAGCTGGATGTAGTTATTCCCATGGTAAGATTGTTAATTAA